CTGGGTGTGGCCCCGCGGAGTAGGGTGTTACCGAACCGCGATACCATTTCTCTCGTGTTCTTTTATTTTATGTCTCTACATTATTCATATTGTCTTATAAATTATTAAAAGACTAAAACCGGTACTAACAATTGGTATCAGAGCGAGTCACTGACGTGTTTTTCGGTGAGGTCCTGGTGTACTGGTTGATTTTGCAGTAATGGATGTCTTGAGAGAAGGAAGATTTGTGAACAAACCACCGCTTCTGGAAGGTGTCAATTACCCCTATTGGAAGGCTCGCATGAAAGCTTTTATTAAAGCTATTGACGAGAAGGCATGGCGATCTATCTTAACCAGATGGACTCATCCAACAACTAAAGATGATAGAGGCAATTCCATCCCTAAGCCAGAAGATAAATGGTCCAACGATGAGGACAAGCTTGCAAACAGTAATTCAAAAGCTTTAAATGCCATTTTCAATGCTGTGGATGTTAATCAATTTAAATTGATTTCCACGTGTGAAACCGCAAAAGAAGCTTGGGACATTCTTCAAACTGCACATGAAGGCACGGATACTGTAAAGGCTTCAAAGCTTCAAATGCTCACAACTCGCTTTGAACGTTTACGAATGGAGGAGGATGAGTGCATTGCTGATTTCAACTCAAAGCTTTGTGATATTGCCAACGAAGCCTTTGCCCTTGGAGAAAAATATACTTACGCTAAATTGGTGAAGAAGACCTTGAGATCAGTTCCGGCATGTTTTGCTTACAAAGTGACAGCCATTGAAGAAGCAAAAAACGTGGAGAAGATGAGACTTGATGAACTCATAGGTAATCTTCAAACCTTTAAGATGAACTTTAAGGCTAAAAAGAAAAGTAGAGGCATTGCTCTTAATGCAAATTATGATGATATGTCCACTAAAGATGAGACCGACGAAGATGAGGACTTGAGTGAGTCTCTTACTTTTCTCACTAAAAAATTCAATGAAATGCTGAGAAAGTTCAACAAGAAAGGGAGACTTGGAGAGAATTCAAAGAACAAAAATTCTCAAAAGAAGAATTTTAATTCTCAACGGTTTGAAGAGAAGAAAAGAAAAGAGGGAATACAATGCCGAGAATGTGAAGAATTTGGACATGTTCAAGCGAAGTGTGCAAACACTCTCAAGAAGAAAAATAAGGCTGCCACGGCGTCATGGAGTGATGATTCAGACGAAAATCAAGAGGATGCAGATGATCACACCAGCAATTATGTGGCTTTCACTGTAAGAAATGAATTCTCGGATAAAAATTTATTTTTCACTGATAATGCTGTTACAGAGTCTGTTGCAACAGCATCTACAACAACCTCTGGTGGAATTGTTAATGGTACAGATTTCGAGGATGAAACTGAAGATGATAGTGACGATGATGACCTAAGCCTTGGGAAGATTCAGGAGGCTTATAAGAAGATGTACAGTAAATGGCTTGTTGTTTGCAAACGAAACAAATCACTTGAAGATGAAGTTGGTGTCTTAACAAAGGAAAGAGATGAGTTGAAGAAGGCTGCGACAAATTATGAAATCTTGGCAACAAAGCATCAAGGAAAGCTTGTTGAGACTAGACTCGAATTGGAGCAGACCCAGAAGAATTTAAGGATGCTAAACTCGGGCACATCAAAATTGGATCACTTACTCTCACAACAAAAAACTTGTGGTGATCATTCAGGCCTTGGCTACAAGGGTCAAGAAATTTCTGGGAAGACTGTCTTTATGAAAGGAGCTACCAGTACTATGATGCAGTCTTTTAAGAAATCTCGGGTAAGATTAGACAAGAAGTTTGTTGTAACAAGGCAAGCAACAAA